GAATATGAGGGATTTATTAATACACTTACCTTATAGTGGACTTGCAGTTGATGGAGCGCGTGGATCTCCAACCACGTACGATGTAGGAAGACTGCGGGCCGTCGAGAAATCTCTTCTGAATTCGATTAATTGCCAACGAGAGCGGATGACTTCCTTCAGGAACACGACGTCGTCATTGCAGTGGGCCTCGATGATTGTGACGTCGTCGGAGGAGGAATGGCCAGGAGTTTTCACGAATAAGGCAGCGACGAGTGTTTCGTAGGCTCTCCCCAATGAAACAATGTCAGGAAACGGCTCTACGCGGTACGATAGATGATTCGCCGGTTCATTAGATGGGATTCGCGGTAACGCGGGATCTATTCCTAAGTTTTCCTTGTAAAAACCCGGAGTATTTAATGTTGCGAAAACACGTCGAAGTTGTGCGCGACGTCCCTTACGATGGTTAAATTTGGTCATTACCTAATTAATTTTAATTCCAAACTATTAAAATGACACTTTCGATGTATCTTCGATGCGATGCGGGCGACTTAGCTGCCTTGAACGTAATTAAAATGAGATTGACATCCGTATCTCGTTTGTTATTCCAGAAAAATCAGCATCTACGGCAGGTGTAAGCCTGAAGAATGCTAATTTAATCCTTCACATATATTTCAGTTCCGTGCGCGTTTCTATCCGATCTTACGTTCCAGGGTACCCGACGCGTAATAGCGTAGTCATGGTTCTCACCTGGTCGTTATTGTTGATCAATCTCTTAGGCCACGCGGTACTTACGCCCGTCGTCTACTTGGGATCCGTGTGTATGCGTCCTCGTGACGGAGATGGTCGTCCAGGTATTCCTGGCTTCGCAGCGCGTTGCGAGGGTCTGGGTGACCTCCTTGATGATCGTGGTCAATCGGCGACACATCGATGGTCGCGAGTTTCCACACGATCGCGGTATTGGATTCTACCGACTTGGCAATGCACGCCGGTGCGTGCAGTTCTCTAATTATTTTCCGTAGATGATAAGGACGGCCTCCGTGTCGCGTACGTCCCATGAGCTAATATCTCGCCAAGTACGCAAAGACCCCGTGCGGCTGATTCGCGCACCTCTGAGTACGCGTAGGCGTGGCCACTCAATTATGCAGTAAGTAGATTCCGTGCGGCTGATTCACGCACCTCTGAATCAAGCGTAATTGAGGGAATTATTCTAACGAGCTCGTTGAGACGCGAGGTAGAATAATTATTGAGAGAATTCAAACTGAATTGAATAACACTTTTATTTAGTAATAAAAATATACTTTATGTTTTAATGCGTAGTACAAACTTAGTATTGGAACCGTAGTGGTTGTACAGAATTGAAGGGGATCGAACCCTGAGTATCGGCAAAGAACGTGACGACAAAGTCGGGCGTTCGTAGCCGTCGACGATACCGGGCGATTGAGCGCTGTGTTACAATTTCAGAGGGTTTATATATCGTTCGGAAGTGGTCACGTGATGTTTTTCTTACAGGAGGTTCTTGGATGTATTAGCTTATAGTTATCTGAGTTTCAGCGATGGTATAATTATCGAAGGATGTTATTCTTAAAGTTATCGGCGGATGTGTAAATAAGATTATCGGCGGATGTTGATGTGCGATTACTGAGAATGTTGTTCTAAAGATTACGGCGAAGTTAGTCTGGCGATTAAGATGGAATGTTATTCTGGAGATTACAGTGAACATTATTCTAGAGATTAAGGTAGGATGTTATTCTAGAGATTAAGATACGGAGCTTATTCATACATCTTAGTCTTATTCTATTTATACATTTTATTACTATCCTTTTCTTAACTATCTCTTATCTCTGTCTTATCTCTAACTTACTTGCTAACTCCAACGTGGGACCCTTGGTCCGACGTAACACCTCCCCCCCCCCTTTTTTTTTATTGTGGGGAAATGCGTTACGCATACCTCGGTTTCCCAGGGGGAAAAACCGAAATTATGTGGGACTACAATCAGGGAGGGGAGCACCAAAGGCGCGCCCGTCCGCGACGGCTACCTACTAAAACCCCACACCCACCTAAGCTACGTGGGAAGCGCCTGGATCATGCGAGTACTCGCTGGACGCTTCCCAGCTTACATGAATCCCGGGGGGAGGGTGTTAGCTTTCCCCACTACCTACTCTTTAAGACCCCGAGCGGAGGGACCCGCCCGGTATCCCCACCCCTGGGGCCGTCGGAATGGGCTTCCCGAGCCCTCGCTCGATCCACCCATAGCCCCCGGCATCTTCGTGTCCGTACTGGTTCAGGAAACAAAGAGCTTCCTGAACGCCAGGACAAGAAGACGCCGAAACCGGTAAGGGAGGGTCGTCGGAGGCGTGAACCGGCCCGTCCCGAAGAGAATTATATCCCCTCAGGGGGCCAGGGTGAGCTCAATCCCCGGCCCCTCACATTCGCCGCCTCCATGCGAGGCACCTGTCGTCGCGGGGGCGCCCCTCGCGGCCCCCCACTATTTATACCCCCACGCAGGGGGGTACGCCGGCGCGAGGGACGTCTCCGCGCCCATGTCCTCCTTGCCGAGCCCGGGTCTCTTTCCCGGGCTCGCTCGTCGGCCTCCTTCTGCGACGTAACCTCCTCGCAAAAGGTGGCCGCCGCTTTCCACAACCTCTCGCTCGAGGCCATGTGGTCGACTATGGCCGCGAGGGAGAGGTCCCATTCACCCACTGCGACTCTTAGGGCACGGCGCGGCGCGGCCCATACCGGACACTCCTCGAGTGTGTGCCACGCCGTGTCCACCTCCTCGCCGCAGTGATGCCACTGCGGTGTCGGCTCCCGCCCCATCCGGTGCAGGTATTCTCCAAAGCATCCATGTCCGGAGAGCACCTGCGTGAGGCGGAAGGTCAACCTTCCCCGCATCCTGCACCATATATCAAATATGGGCAGCTGCGGAGGTGACGAGGGAGTTCCGAGTGGCTGCGACGTGGTAGAAGCTCCATCCTGTCGCACTGGGGTTGAGGCGAGCTGTTTGCTCGTCTGGAGTGGCGGCTTCCATTATTCCAGGCTGGCGGGTTTTTACTAACGCGTGATAACGTCGATTGGTACGTTGTGTTGTAATGCAGTCCTGGTCCTTGTTGTTAACTCGAGGTACTCCTCGATGCATTCTGTGCAATCCACGGCCGGGCGTACATTCGCAAATCTGAATGCACATATCGCACAGGTCTCGATCTCATCTGCGGCATTCCGTGTGCACAGGGCAAGAATTCCGTCTGGGTGGAAATTTATTCTGAAGTTGTCGGGACGTCGTGCGTAGCACTGGGAGCATAGCCACTCGCTGTTGTGCCTCCAGATTGTTTCTTCTCGTTTTCGGGAAACGCATTTGAGTCTTCCCAGTCCGGGGTATGCCTCTGGGTAGTTTCTTGGTGGAACACCGTCTATTGGGCCGTAGTATTTTCGGCTGGATCCGGTTGTTGACTGTACTGTTCCCTCGGGATAGGCATGTTGCTGGATTTCGTAGGAGTCGTTCTTGGATGATGTCGCTACGTATATCTCGTCTGCGTGGAGCTGTTGGATTGCGTCGTCTTGAGCTTGCTTTCCCTTATACACTATGGTTTTTACAGAGAGGGGGATGTTTTTTCAAGATAGAGAGAATCCGTGACTCAGGCCGTATATTTGCCCTCTTGAGTTTATTGCTATGAACAACCTTTGGTCGGCCCTTGATCAGTATTTTTACATTCCCGTTTGGGTATAACTCCTCAACCTTGTACGGTCCGGTATACTCGCTATCAAATTTCCCTTTGCGGGGCTCCTTCAAGAGAAATACATTATCACCTACATTAAAGTTCTGCACGTTTATTTTTCTGTCGTAATAACGTTTGGACTTGACTTTGGCTTGACCCAGATTTTCGCGAGCCTTGGAAAGGGTAGTGTTTAATTTAGTTTGGACGTCGTGCAGGTATTGGTTGTAGGAGTCATCGGGAGTGTCAGGGAGGTATGCATTCGCGGATGGAACGCGTGCGGTGCGTCCGTACACGAGTTCGTGTGGGGTGTAGAGAGTCCCTTTATGCACGCTTGTATTATATGCGAACATAGCGAAATTTAGCCACTCGTCCCAATTGTGGTGAGAGACGTATTGTTTTAAATACTCCGTGAATACGTGATGCGACCGTTCTAGTGACCCGTTGCTCTGTGGGTAGAACGCAGTGGTTTTTAAATGTGCGATTTTAAATCGTTTCATGATTATTTTCATTAACGCGCTTGTAAAATTTGTACCCTGGTCTGATAAAATTGCTTTCGGGGCG